ATTTTTGCTATAGGGCGTGTGTGCTCACCAGAAAGACAGAGAGACAGAAAGTGAGCAATCACCTCTAGGGGGGATGGCCATGCCGCAATCCCATCTCCTCCATTCTCCTCTTGGGATACTAGGCACGCATGCACACTCGCGCAGCGTGAGTTTAAGCCACTGGGTCCGGGACTCGAACCTCGATCAATTGCATGGAAGTTCAGTGATGTAGCCATTATGCCATCTGCTGGTCCCCCTTCTTGATTCTTTAATGTTTACGAATGCATATTTAACACCAGGAACAGATACAACTCAAATGGGTGACTCTAAGTCTCAGGTATACTCCTTTCTTATATCTCAGACTGTGAATTTTTCTTTGATTCTTTTAGACACTGAAATTGGTTGAGTGTTCATGAGAAAGTTACGATGTCAGTTCTTATGAAGCACAGTCTTAGATTTTTAGCTTCTGAATTTTTTTTTTTAAACTGACATCTTTTGCCACTGCACGGAACAGCCTACATTCTTTTCCTTCTGCCTTTCTTTACTCTTTTCTGTAACACTTACCACTCTTGAGCACGTAATCGTCTTATATGTTGGATTTTCCTGTGTCACAATCCTCCTACCTTGGTCTCTTAAATAGCTGGGCCCACAGGCGAACACCATTGCGCCTGCCTTTTAGACGGACTGGAATCAAACCCAAGTCTCCCATGTGGCTTCAGCCTCCTGAGTAGCAGCCTCTACCAACATGTGCTGTCACAGCTGGACCTACCGCTTTTTCTGAAATTTTAGTAATTACCTTTGTGGTAGGTACTAGACTTATCTATGTTTCACTAATAACAAAAATAAAGCAAAGAAGTTAAGTAACTTAAAGTCTTAGGGTAAGTAAATATCGAAACATCACTTGAATCAATTGGTTTATCTTTAGAGTCCTTTATTTTAATCAGGACTTTAAAAATTATTCTAATTGAGTGAATGTGCATTTCGAAATAAATTCTATATTTATTCTCTGTCTCCTCCTTGTGGCCATTTTTGTTCTATTTGCTTTTAACCTATCTTGTTTTTTAGATAATTCTGAATTGAATTTTCAAATTTTTCCCATTACGTTTTTGTGACTAATTCTGGGTTAATTCCTATATTGGTCACTCTCTGGGTACTAGCTAATCTAGTTTCCTCTTTAAAGTGTTCTCTGAAATAGGCATAATATAAGGGAATGGAATGACCATTCAAGAAGAATAGAAAATATAATTTCCTATCATGAAAACTCAACATTTTAAAATGTATTCTATACCAACAATGCTTTCTTATTTAGTACCTGTTTTCCTTCTTTTCTTCAGTGAACAGTATTTTCTGATGGATCCATGTGAGAACTGTAAGAGAAACCAATGGTGAGTCCTAGTTTTTAACAGAAAAACTGCAAGTATGGAGTTCTCATGTGAAACGAGGAAGCCTAGAGTGAAACACACTGGAAAAGGACTGCTTATTCTGTGATAGGAGTTTGAAAATCTCATAACATATCTAAATGTGCCAAGTCTCCAATCAGAGATGTGGTCCGCAAGATCAAGTATCGATACAGAGATGTCAATTTGGATGTCCTCACGGTTTCTGGAAGGGCTCAGTCAAGACTGAGAAGAACAGAAAAAAGAGGCCCAAGGACTGAATGCTGGGAAACAACATTTTTAACCTAAAAAAGAAAAGATAAAGTTATTTTATCAAGTTTTTAAAAAATAAAGTGTAAATAAACTATAGATTAAAGAGGCTTCAGGGCCTACTAACACTGTAGAGATTCCCCCATATCCAGTGTTCCATACCGATTTCCGGTTATTCCAGCACTGTCTGGCTGTTGTTACCCCCAGATCTATTTTTTAACTTTCAGACCAAAAAGATGGCCTATTTTCTATTAGTTTTAGCTGACTAACAGGACATTGACTGTGGGTTACCCTTACATTAATAGCCCAATTAAAAACTAAGACAAAGACATCTTACCCTGTCCCAGTCCCCTCTCTCCACAATCTGGCTGCTTTCTTACTTCCCTGAAACCTCAGGCAGTTACTTTAAAAATCATGTCCTGAGTATTAATTGATGTATACGGAAGGATTATTCCATTGGGAACACATTCAACCATACAGAAAGGAACCTTCATCCACATCCAGTTTTAACACCTATCATTTTTTTCTCCATGCCCCATTACCAATACAAACACACACACACACACACACACACACACACACACACACACACACTTTGATTTCTTTCTTTTTTCTGAGAGACTTTTGCTATAAGCCACATGTGCTTGCCAGAGAGAGAGAGAGAGAGAGAGAGAGAGAGAAAGTAAGAAATGTGCTTGCCAGGGAGACAGAGAGAGACAGAAAGTAAGAAATGACCTCCCCAAAGGGGTATGGCTGTGCCACAATCCCTTCTCCTCCATTCTCTCTTGAGATTTTGGGCACGCATGCACACATGCCCAGCATGACTTTCAAGTCGCCAGGTCCAGGACTTGAACTGCAGTAGACAACGTGGGAGTCCAGCGCCTTAATCACTATACCACTTGCAGTTCACAGATTAATTTTTAATAATAACTTAATAGCTGTCAGGTAAGTGTGGCATGGCTCTTCCTGTCTTACTGTGAATCTCTCTGCTTGATATCTGATATGGCTGAGGATAAGCGAGGTCCAGTGTCTCCATACAAAATTAGTTAACCTTGGATGCACATGGAGAGACGACTGGATTCTTTACTGAACCATTTAGAGCAGTCTCTTCCCAGAGGATCATGGGAATTCTCCTATTAAACTACAATCCCTGCTCTTCCTCCAAGCACTCCTTCTTTGTTTTGCAGCAAGAAACAGTGCTGAAAGAGCAGACAGTCTGAGATCTGTAACAATCTAGTTTCTGAGAATATTTGACTTCTCTGTACAGAAACTGATTGTTACTCTGTCCTTGCAGAGGGCCAGTGGGGGTGTGTCTTGGGCCAGTTGAGCGTCCATATAAAAACTCCCAACCTTGATAAAAACACCCTGTTCCTGGGCTTGAAAATTTGAAACATTAATAGCATAATTTATAGCAGTGCTTTCTCCTACCATGTCTGAAGACGTGACCTATGCAACACTCACATTTCAGGATTCTGCAGGAGCAAGAAGCAACCGGGATGGAAACAATCTAAGAAAAAGAGGTAGGAACTTGGAGAAAGCAGGCTCTGATGCTGGAAATGGACAGGTGTTCGCCTTGAAACCAGTGCTAAGTAGAAGTGGGCTGTGGAATCTCCAAAAACGCAAGCAACTAGTTGTAGAGTAGATTGTTCCCAGTGTTGTAGTGTCTTGCAGAATTTCTAATTGTGAGATACCACTATATTTCATGAAACTTTGTTATAGTGAGAAAAATCCCTAGGGTATGTCAGAGATTGAGTTTGGGAACTAAGGGATTTCTTTATATCAATAGATTCCTTGATATTTATACTTTGTGAAGGATACCAGGGGAATATTCTTTTAGAAATCAGTTTGGAGGCTTCTAAAATAGAGGTGGAGGAATTTTTTTTTTTTTAATGTTAAAAATCACTGAATGGAAAAATTGGAGGATGAGTAGACCAGAAGTGGGTAAGAGCTAGTTTTTCTTTTAGAAGTTTTTTTCTTTTTAAATTTAGGATAGTCAAACCCCAGGTATAATTGTCCTGAATATTAATTGAGATATGCAGAAGGATTATTCTAGGATTATTGGGAACGTACGCAACCATACCAGAAAGGAACCTTCACCATATCCAGTTTCAACATACGCCTGGTTCTTCTCCATGCTCCATTACCCCCATCACCAATAGACACACACACACACACACACACACACACACACACACACACTTTGATTTCTTGTAATAGCTTAATAGCTGAATCAGTAATTGAGGGGAATTCACAGTAGTATTAGAATAATATTCCTAATTTCTCTGTTGCATAGATGCTAAAACTGAGGCCAAAAGAATGTAAATAATAACCAAGTTCATGCAACTGGTAGGTGGCTGTGCCCATACACAGTTCTAGTCCAACTCCTTCTCTTACATGCAATTGGAAGAAACAGCAGTTTCCATGTTCAGGAGTCTGGTTTCATATATAAAATTATAACCTTTACTTCAAGAGACCTTCTACAATTTGGGTTGTCCTGAGTTATCTGAACCATACGAACTCTTTTCCCCTGCTCTTTAGGTCTATTTTTAGCATATATGTGTGGGTGTGCATATGTGCACGTGTGTCTATGTGTATGGTTTAGGCAGGTGGGGCAGATATACAAAAAAACACCAGGAACAGACTTCGCATTCATCTAATAAAGATGATTATACATTTTTGTATTGTCTGTTTGTTTTTTAATTCTAACTCTAAACCTTGAGGAGAAAGGGGATACAGACAGAGTGTGTGTGATAGTGTAGCTGGAGACTGTATTAATCTATCTAAACCAAGGAGTTAGAGTCATTTAGGACCTGAATCAATACTGAGAAGGTGAGGAGAATATGAAAGCCATTTGTATTTTTAAAATTTATTAAATAAGGGAACCAGCAGTTAGCATAATGGCTATGTTGCTGGACTTCCACGTTGTCGACCGCAGTTCGCGTCCTGGACCCGGTGGCTTAAAACTCAGGCTAGGTGCATGTGCATGCGTGCCCAAGATCCCGAGAGGAGAATGGAGGAGAAGGGATTGCGGTGTGACCATCCCCCCTGGGGGGGGTGATTTCTCGCTTTCTGTCTCTATGTCTCTGTCTGGCGAGCGCACGCGCCCTACAGTGAAAATCTCTCAAAAAAAAAAAAAAAAAAGATTTTTTCTGTAGTCCAAGAAGAACAGAGACAACTGAGAAATCAACCCTGAGGGAGAATGGCTACACCATAATCCCTTCTCCTCTGTTCTCCACTCGGGATCTTGGGCACCCATGCACACGGGCCCAGTGTTTTAAGCCACTGGGGTCTGGGCCTTGAACTGCAGTTGACTACGTGGGAGTCCAATGATGTAACCATTATGCCATCTACTGGTCCCAAGAGAACCTCTTAAAAGAAAAGTGTGGTGGAGCAATAAGGAACTGAAATTGGGGGTCCCAATTGCAGTTCATATTAGGTATTTTTACAATAAGGGTATTGAGAAACAAGGAAGACATTTTAATATCTGGAAACTTCCTAAGTGGAGGACATAAACGACCCAAAGTGTAGCAACCACAAAGCAGTTTTGTTTGCTAATTCCTCTGTGGCTCTCTTCAGGGTCTCCAGCTCTAGCCCCCTTGTGGCGTCCAGCTGCTCTGAGCCTGCTAACTCTCTGCCTGATGTTGCTGATTGGGCTGGTGACCTTGGGGATTATGTGTAAGTATACTTGCATCCAACCCGAGACTGGTGAGTAGGGAACACATCTGTAAATTATGGTAGACCACAGGCAGGTATTAGCACCTTGAATCCTGTAATACTTTTCTGCTACTTCCAATTTCTCCCATTCTCCAGATCTTCAAAATAAGCCAGCAAGGTACATATTTTATTATGAAGGATTGTTTTATCTTGATAAACTGGGCTGTCCTATGAAGAAGATGCTTATTTTTCTAGTTATTGATTAGAATAAGGAGTCTCTTTTCTGCTAAGATACACATCCCGTTATTTCAATGGTGAGAAAGAGTCAAGAGAGACTTGAAGGAAGGGCATGCCTTTGCATTTAGGGCAAGCCTTTTCGCGTCATGATTTTAATGAAAATGTTTAAAGCACACATAGAATATATAATACTTAAAAACTGCACTGAATATTTTGAGGGACATCAGTTATTATAACCATGTTTAGATATGTATATATATGTGTGTGTGTGTGTGTGTGTGTGTGTGTGTGTTTTAAGTTTGCCAGTGGGTACATGTACTCGCTGGAAAGAAAAACAAGAGAGGGAAAGTAAGAAATCATCTCCTGGAGGGAATGGTCATGCCACAATCCCTTCTTCTCTAGTCTCCTCTTGGGATATTGGGCATGTACACTCATGTGCCTAGTGTATTTTTCAAGCAGAGAACTAGCTTAATCTGCCCACCCAAGACCCTTCTAGTATACAAAAAACTTCTGAGCAGTGGGAAAACTCTGATTAGTATAAATTAGAAAGACATAAATATAAGAAGGAGTGACCTGATGTATCTTACCCAGGACATAGAGAATGAACCATCTCTGCTTAGCAGTGGAAGCTCCACTCCCAACATTACAGCAAAAAAAAAACAAAAAAAAATAATGCTCTCTTGATCTGACCCATCATAGCGCACTTGGAAATGGTCAGCACAGAGAGTCCTGGACCAGCAGTAAATGGCATCCAGAGAACGTGCCCTTTATAGAATGCTGTTAGTATGTAGTGGGCAGAGCGGGGATTTAACGTCATAGTCACATTCAGGGGACTTGCAGTCAAGAAAGATAATGTTTTGAAAGACTGATGTTTTCTCTGCTATAGTAATTTCTTGTTATATATGTAAAATCTCATCAATAATTAAAATTTGGACATACCTGGGTCTGGCAGGGGGCATGGTGGGTAAAAGGGCCGGACTTTCACATAG